TTGTTAGGAAGTAAGGACAGCCTCAACCCAGGACAGAGATACTGGCTGTGTTTAAGCTACGTTCTTATTATCAGCTGAAATTTCCCAAACCTGGTGTGTCCACAGCAGTGTGAACAGACCAGATGTCCTCAGACCAGGTCTGGGCCACCTGCGTATGAGCTCCTAGGCCCGATTCCTCTCCGACCTCTGACTGTGTGAGCACCATCATTGGAACGGTCAGATCAGAATTCATGTGGTCGTTTTAACGTCTCCTCCTCTGCACATACGGCCTGTCTTCATCATTCGGCGTCGGCCCCTCACAGACCAGTAACAGTAAACATGGAGGAGAGTGACGACAGCGATGGGGTCAGTGGAGAGACCAGGACGTTTATGGAGAAGCTTCTGATCAGGCCAAACTGGGAGGAACATGTCGTAACCCAGTGGTTTGGGAGGAAACTGGGCCATTTGACTGTCACACACACGACCTGGGTGTTATTCTTGTGTGCACGTGGCTCACATTTCATCTGTGCACGTGTGGCAGCTTAGGAGCTTGGAGCCGGGTACACGGCCCTGACACACACAGATCAAAGCTGAGTCTGAAGGCCTGAGACAGGAACGTATCCACACAGACATCTCTCCTCTGATTTTCATTATGAAGAATCAAAGAGGTAGTGTTTTCCACTTCTCCGTCTCTCTGACTGTCACTACTTCTTATTGTTCGCCCAACCTTCCCACACTGTCTTTAAATAATTGTCAAATATTCCCAGCAAATATTGAAATATTGAATCACACTTTAGCTCGATGCCCATCCCTATATAAAACATGCCGAAGGTGACAGTCAACCAGTGTAAGGACCAACACCTTCTGGTAGTGGTCAGCACTCGAGCAGCAGAGTTCTGAACCAGCCATATCTGGTTTTTAACTTTGTTTTGGTCAACCAGACGACGGCGTTCAGTGGATTCTCAGATTGAGGAAACATACACTGATAACCGTGGTTTTAATGAGGCTGGGCTACTTCACTGAGGTGGCCAGCGTGGGTGTGTTCATCTGTTTCCGCCTGGCATACTGAGCCCTGGAGCCCTGGTGTTTTTTGATTCCTGTGATGGTTTCTTCACCAACTACAACTGGACAGAGCAGAACCTTGAGGTGATGAGGGAATACAGTGGGGCCCAAGGCCGCCAGGCTGACATCTACATTGGGGTGGACGTGTTTGCCCGAGGCGACGTGGTAGGAGGAATGTTTGTAAACTCCTAGCAGTCTTCTATGACACCTCGTTGGCCTAATCCAAAGTCTACACTTGGCTTAACTGTTGACACTGCTTCAGAGAGAAAGGGGCAGTATGTGTATACACCTGTCTGAGCCCCTAAGAGAAACGCCCGTGGCCGAGGTTTCTGGCCTGTTGGCTCAGTCTCAGATTGGCTCTTTCTTGTTAGAGGAGACTGAATTAGACAGTTTTCTCTCGGCGAGGCCTTCTCTGCCCTTCACGAGGCTACTTTGTGGGTGGAGCAGTGACAGCAGCCTGCATTCCACAGCGTTACTGTGCATTCTTGCAGAGTTACTTAACAGACAGAGCAGAGACTTAGGCAAAGAGTAGATTATATTCACGGGGAGACAAAAGTACTCCCCTCCCATTCCTGACACTGAGTACGGCCTCTATCTGACTGCATGTTTCCTCACTGATAAACTGAAATCCATGTCAACCTTGGCGTGTGCACAGAGCCCACACTGGCTGATGGCAGAAGGCCTGGACAAACATAAGAGACAACTGTCACAAGAGATGATCTGCTCTGGACAGAGGCCACAGTGCTGCTCTCTTCTTCTCTCTCCAGCCCGTTACACTGCCTGCTCAAGGTGCCAATTTTCCATCATACCATCCAGTATGAAAGGCACCTAGGTGGCATTATACCCTCCATTACATTAGTGGTATGCTTTGTATTTTCTATGTATGTTATATGTCATGCTGGACGCCGCACCTCTAATGCCAGGACACTGGTATCTGGGCAAACAGAACACAAGGGCTGTTTTCAGTTCAGTGTAAATATGTAAAGCTGCAATAAAGGAGATCCAGCTCAGCGCCAATGCAGCAGAATCTCTGTCTTAAAGAGGCTTCTGTCTCACTGCAAGCCATATTTATTCATATGCACCATATTCTTCTACCGTGATCCCTAGTTAAATAGGTCGGAGGTTTTCACTGTACCATAAAACAGCAACTTCATGGTGAAGCTGGGTGAAAAGTGTAGGGATAACTAAAGCCCACAGTGTTTATCTATGAATGTGATGTGATTCATTTAATTGTTCTGGTCATATTATTACTTACATACAGTAGTAGACAATCAGGTCATCACGAATACAGGTCCCACAATCCCTACTACTTCACACCATTATACAACTCGGTGATTTGATCATCTGTTTCTTCTTCTGTCCAAAGCCGCACTCCACCAGTCCCGCCTCCTTATAGCTTGTATTGGCTGGTCACTGGCTGTCAAACATTTTTAAAGCAGTTGCAGGGACAATAAGACTCAGTCCTGAGGACAGCGAAGCTAACGTCCTGCTCCTTCATTCCAATAAATCATCATAGGTTTTAAAGGA